TGGGGTGCCCAGCCAGGTATTTGGTCAAACATTATTCTGGGTGTGTCTTTGAGGGTGTTTCTGGATGAGATTCATTTTGCATCAGGAGACTGAGTAAAACATTACCTTCCCCACTGTGGGTGGGCCTCATCTAATCTGCTGAAAGCATGAATAGAATGAAAAAGTTCAGTAAGGGAGAATTCAGTCTCTGCCTGTTTTTGAGCTGGAACATTAGTCTCCTCCTGCCTTAGGAACTGGACTCAGACTGAAACTTACACTCTTGGCTCTCCTGATTCTCAGACCTACAAACTCAGGCTGGAACTACACCATCGGCTCTCCTGGGTCTTCAGCTAACTGACTACAGGGTCTTAGACTTCTCAGCCTCCGTAACCATGTGAACCAATTCCTTATGATTAATTTATAATAAATAAGATAATATATACCCTATTGATTCTATGAAGAACCCTACCTAATGCACAGGGTTAGGACCTCATTATCTGTGCTCCTTATTGGTCCTATGCCACATTAGTTACTGTCTTCTTTATCCTGCCATTTATGGTCTGTTGGTAGCTATTTGAGTGAGTCTTCCAGTATTGTGAGTGCCTAGAACAGTATCTAGCACATAACCAATGCTCAATGAATGGAATTAATTAATGAATACTCATATTACAGTCAATGCTATTATCATTCTTTCAAGGAAAGTAAAATTCAGAGTCATCAGATAATTTGCACAAAGTCACATAGCTAGTAAGTAGTAGTTGAGATTTGAACCTGGAGACATTTAACTTCAAATCCTTGCACATTTTTCTATACTATACTGTAGTAGACAGGCAGGGCACAGCATTAAAGAATTTGAGCTGTGGAGACAGACTGCCATAGTTTGAATCCTAGAACCTCTGTATACTGAGCAACTTTAAGCAAATTACCTAGCCTCTCCGTGCCTCAATTTTCTTATCCATAAAATAGGAATCACAGTGCATATCAGTAACTCATTGATGCCATAATGCTATCTAAAATACCACTCTTCCACACAGTGGCTTAAACAAAAATTATTCTGGCAGATCTGCAAATAGATTAGGATCTGGCTGATGTACATTGGGCTTGGCTTGGGGGTAGAAGAGCTTTTCTGCTTCCGGTCATGCAGCTGGGGAAGCTCTGCTTCTTACCGCCGGTCTATGGGTCTGCATGCAGCATCCTTCCTCCTTGCCAGGCAGGTTTCTCCTGTGGCTATGGCAGAGGTGCAGGAGGAATGCTGGACACACACAAAGCCTCTTAAAGCCTATGCTTGGGCTGGCATGTGGGCCCCATGTAACTGGGCAAAGCAGCTCACAAGCCCAAGTCAAGGGGTGGAGAAATACGATTCTCCCACAATGCAGCCATGGCAAGAGTGTGAAGAATTAGACAAGGAGGAATTAAAAATCAGGCCAGAATTTCAGCCTACCACCCGACTTCTAAGGGCTGTTGTGCGGAGGTAGTAAATTTCGTGTATCATACACAGAACAGAGCCTGGCACATGTTAGAAACTGAATAAATGTTCCGAATGTTCTGTCTATATATAAAAAATCATGTGGCTCTGTCATTAACCAGCTGTAAGAGTAAAATAATTCAAAGGGCTTTCCTGTGGTGTCTTTTTTATTTAACCTGCCACTTGAGTTTATAATAGCTGCCTTACTTTCTTCATTATGTTGCTAAAAGGATCAAATAACATATGGTGACTGATCATGTTTCAAAAAAATAAAACATCCGAGGAATGCAAAGTATAACACAGGACTAATTCTAGATAACCATTTGGTTAAGGTCAGTAAATCCCTCCAATTTTAAATGATAGGAAGCCATAGTTCTTATTTTATAGATGAGGTAAATGCTTCAGGGAACTAAAGTACTTCTTTTCTGGCCATAAATCCAAATGCTGGCTGAGAAGGGATAGAATTAATGTTTCCTATCTTCTAGATGTTAGCTGGGTCAGAAACTGAACACGGATGTGAAGGTTTAATCATCCTTCAATATGAGGTGGTTCACATTCAGATTTTAGAGGTTCAGGGTAGTAAGAAAATCTTCAAGCAACTTCATAATCTCATACACTCATTCAGCTAATAAATCCCTGGGAGCTGGGGATACTAAAAGGTCAAACTCCCCAGTGCCTGTCCTCGGGGACTTACAGCTGTGGACTTAGAGACAGAGAAAGTCACCGTGTATCTCTGAGAACACACTAATTATGCCAGCTTCATAGGATCCCAGGTACCCACAGGCCATATTCTATCCACTGCCTATCCTCACGGATGAGACAGGAGAGCGGGAAAGATAATTATCATGGAAATTATGTTTCTTTTCACTCATGGAAACTTCTCTCTTCATGACCTTGCATCTGACTTCCTTTGGGCTTTCCCTCCCCCTGTAACCCCACCCTGGTAAATATCTCTGAACCCCATTTCCTGTGGGCAGGTTTCAAGGGCTTTCCCTTGGGGTTCCTAGAACCTGGAACTCAGGGACTTGGCTAGATGCCAGGAAAGAAATCACCTTAATCACCCACCATTCATTCTTTCAGTAGTTATTTATTGACCACATGCTATGTGCCAGGCATTGCTCTAGGGACGGGAGAGACAAAGGTGAATGTAGCAGACAAACATCTCAGTCTCACTTGGCTCTTTCCTTCCCTGTCCTTCCCCACTCTCCAAGTATTTCCTGGAATCCCCCCTGAGAAATTGCCCTTGAACCCTTGTCTCAGGTCTGGCTTCTGAAGGAACCCAAACCATGACACCCAGAATCCTTGCCTTCAGCATCCGAACCTCAAAGCTCAAAGTGAACAATGGAAGACGTGTGTGTCCCTAAAGACCCACTCATGCCATCTCGCCTGCAGTGAGAGCTGGGCACTGTTCCAGTGGATGTCTCCCAACATGTGTTTCCTGTATGTGGATCTTATTCTTGAACATCCCCAACCAGCATCCGCTCTTTGAAAACAAGGCCCTGGTTTTACACAACCTTCGTAACATTTCCCAGTCCTATGCCTGGAAAAATACCAAGCACAAAACAGTGGTACAAGATTTTATCTTAATCAAATGAAACCAATTCCAATTTAATACCTGATACTGTATACCCCTAAGAAGATAAAATCCTGGCGCTCATTGGCCATGCTTTCTGTGCTTAGAAAGATACTTGGACTTTTTAACTCTTGCTATCTATTCTGACCCTGTATCCAAAAGTTTAAGAATTCACATTTCAAGTGTGTTGATCCATGGATATTGACTTTGAATAACTGCTGATGAAAATCTCTGGCATAAACTAAATTATTTTAAGTTATATACTTAGGACTTTCCTTGGGATTGGAAACTTTTAAACTTGTTGCATATACTCATATAAACCAAAATCGATAAGTAAGTAAAACTCCATATTAAATGAGGAAAGTTATTTATGTTTCTTATGTTATTCCTAGATGAGAGAAATACAGGATTCCACAAAGTTTTACTCTCAAAAAGATAGGTATGTTCCTAGCCACCTTCCTGGAATCAAGTTAGAGGCAAAATGTTTGAGGCAGAAATACACAAGAAATGCATTACATTTTAGGGCAAATAACAATATAATACTCTCATAATGTTAAATGTTGTCTGAGAGATTGTGGATTTTTACTGTAAAGGAACAAGATTCATGAAATATATTTCTCAGGAGTACTTTCAGTCAGTTTTCCCTCTAAGTTGCATTTTGAGGCAAAATTTCCTATGGAAGTTTGAGATTTTAAGAGGTTGTGTAGATGTTCTCTTCAAAGGGTTATAGTCATTTGAGGTGAAGTAGTATTAGTTGCTTCTCATTACGATTCTTAGCAAATGTCTCATTAACTAGACACCCCAGTTATAGTCTCTAAAATCTATATATTATATTTTAATAAGAGCTATCTCCTTTTGTTCCAGGAAGGTGGACAAACTCTTTTCTTAGCCCTCCTCCTTGCTGAAATGTTCTCCATGCCAACTTAAGTGGGGAGTTCTTGGCAGCCTTAGCACCCCAAATGAATGACTCTGGAATATACTGTATTTTTCCAGCAGTGACATCTGGGCCTCTAGCTTGTTCCCAGGGCTGCCTTAGGCTTTTTGAGTTTGTACTTCTAAACATTATTTATTACTGATTCTCTCTGGATGACCAGCAGTTGTTAATTTCATATAAAAAATAAAATAAAACATGTCATATGTATTTAAGGAAAATAACAAAAATGCAGTCTGAACATATTGATTTTATGTAGATTCTAAATCTTTTTTTTTTTTAGGAATAATTATGTTGTGCACAGATTAATATAATGAAAAAAATAATCTGTAATATTCGTATGCAGTGGAGACACAACCTGTTTCATTCAAATTACGGAAAATAATTTCTAAGTCACTGAATATCATAAGAGTATATGCATGAAGACACTAAAAAGGCCTTTTTCTTTTCTCTGTCTCACCCATGCAGGGCTGTATCTCATTTCTTTGAGACCAACCCTTTGGTGCTTATTACTGTGCCATCTTCGAGAACCAGATCTCCAGACTTCTGTTATAATGAGCTCTAAAGAGAGAGAGAAAGACAGAGACACAAAGGATGTTAATGGGAGGGTATCTTGTTAGAACCAATAAAACTACAGCAGCCCTGAGATAATAAATTATTTTGTTTCATCATTTTCAGAACAACATTTGAAGAATATGCCAACATCTTCTTAAAATGCGGTTCTTTCTTTCTGCTTATAATCCCAAGCAGAAGTCTCCAGATATTGTGGAAGCACATTCACATTTCATTACCACAGCTGCCAGGGCAGCTCTGTGGAAATCTATCAGTTGTTGATGTTTTTGAAGCACTGACAGTAGTCTGCAGGAAAAATTAAATAGAAAAGCTTAGCCCTGAATTAAAATTTATGCAGATCACTCTTATTTTTACAATGAATAAAATTCAAATAAAGCACACACACGCACACTTACATTTCTTAGTTAATACCAGCAAAAGTATACTAAATCCCTCTGGGACTAGATTAGTACACTAGCAACAATAAATAGACTAGACTAGTGGTCACTTCAGCAGCACATATACTAAAATTGGAACAATACAGAGATTAGCATGACTCCTGCACAAGGGTGATATGCAAATTTCTGAAGCGTTCCAGAGAGATGATGATAGATAGATAGATAGATAGATGATAGATAGATAGATAGATAGATAGATAGATAGACAGACAGACAGACAGACAGACAGATAGATAGATAGATAGATAGATAGATAATACATAGATGATACATAGATGATGATAGATGATAGATAGATAGATAGATAGATAGATAGATAGATAGATAGATATAGATAGATAGATAGATAATAGATAGATGATGATTGATAGATAGATAGATAGATAGATGATAGATAGATAGATAGATAGATAGATAGATAGATAGATAGATAGTCTCTAGAGATTATACAACAGCAGCAGGTGCCAGGATATTTGTTTCTCTGAACAGCAAAGAGTCAGCTGAACCCTAAATCTACATTTTCCTCATGGGATTGTTGTTCATTAGATCCTCATTTTAATTAATTTCATAATCAATGTCCATCAGTATGACAGTATTTTGTACAGTGATCAAAATTTATCCATTAAAATCAAAATATATATGATCTCAGCTGAAAAAGACTAAATTTCTAAGATACTCATGGGGGAAAAAACAAATACTCCTTTAATATCTTGCCCCATTTCTTAGGTCTCCAACACCAAAGAAAGTGCCCTACTTACAGGGCAGAAAAGAGTATGGGCAAAGACAACTGGTTGATAAGTCAAGCTAAAGTATCAATATTAATGACACAAGATTGATAAACATGCTAAAATAATTTATCTTGGAAATGGGTCAATAAAAATCTTGAGAGAAGAAACCTAGACTTCAAATGTTTAAACCTATGAATTAAATCTGGAAAAATGATGCTTAAGATAAATAAATATAAATGCAATCTTGACTTTTATTTCTCAAACAATTGTACAATGTGTATCAAATGCTATGCCAATCTCAGAAGAACTGCACCCTCGTAACCGTCCCCCCCCACCCAAACCCCCTTTCCTCCTCTGCATGCAGAAACAGGAAATGTTGAATGTATACCAAAGGTATTATTTTAGAATGCTTGGTACTTAATCCAAATGAAAGGCTACTTGAATATTAAAGCACATTTTCTTCCCACTGGTGTGAATAATTCCAGGTCACCAGAAATCAGGGAAATACACAATAACTGTTGTCACTGATCATGATATCAAGTAGTCTATGAATTGAGAAACTAGGTAATTGTATTTTCTGGAATCTGTCCACATTTCTAGTGCTACAATTGTTATCTGGAGAGGAATATCTTCAAAGATTTGGATGAAGTGTATGATAAGGTTTTGTGTTCTGGTACACAGAAGTGAAATATGATCTTCAATCTCACACACAGTGATTGCATATGGCAGATTAATGTCAAAGAGGCTTTGAACAAGCTAGGTTCATCATCAGAATTTTTCTCCAGTACTGAGTTATGACCTAATGTGTTTCCCTGCACTGTCCCAAAGAGATGAGAAAAGATGGCTGGAAATATTATATAGTGCTCATAAAAGAGGTGTTCTTTCCCATCATTCAGAAAAAAAGCAAGGAAAAGACTTACTAAACTCTCGTTTCCAGAGGGCAGTCTATTGTGTGACCATTGAAATTCACCTAAATTATTTTGAAATAAAGCATACTTTGTATGTCATTTGAACATATTGATATGATCACGTATATATATTACCAAAGCCTGAAAGCACTCACTCATTTTGGATGTAGTCATCCCACATGGTGACCTAGGAATTTCGTGGGTAAGAACAGAGCATAAATGAGGTTCCACTTACACTTTTGATTTCTATCTGAAGTTCTTATAGGATCAGACTATTCCTTATAATGATACATTTCTTGCTGTTGGTCTCAAGATGAACCAATATTTGCAACTCAGTGTAGGCTAGATGAGTGGTTTCTTCATTTGACTTTGCCTCAAAATTACTATTATTTTTTATTTTTGTTTTTCTGTTCTTTAGGCTGCCAAATTTTCTAAATCCTAATTTCTGCGATGATTATGGTACAGGCTTTCATGACCACTAGTAAAATATTGGACTAGATGAATCCTCATCTGAGCAGGGAAAAACCACTAACACTAAAAATGTAGTAGGTCAATCAGACTATCTTCAGACCCCAAGTGCTGCCCCATCAAATAATGATGCTGTCTGTGCCTAGTTTGGTAATGTCACTCCTGGAAGAGTTTTCAAGCAAGAAAAAGCTCAGTGTCTAGAAATCACAAAGACCCTTTCTAGTTAAGCTAAGTGACCCTTGATCTGCACACCATCTTTAAAGTTGCTGAAAACGTATTTTGATGTTCTACTAATGTGTCTGATTCCTTATCAATTATCTTCCAAAGTTCTTGAGAGAAAGAACAGTTTTCAATTATTGATGTCTACTATAGAATTTTGCATGTGTTCTCAAAATAGGTAATTTTGTTGTTGTTGTTGTGAAATAAACTAGAATACTAAAAGAAGACTCATTCATGCTCACACATTAGCTTTCATATTTCAAGCAAGATCTCTTGGTCTCCAATTTCCTCATGAAGATGCTGTACTAAATGTTTTCTCTGTTTTGTTTTGTTTTTTCCATCTTTTATCTCTCTGCTACTCTGTATTTACATATAATGAATTGATAACGACTGGACGAATAAGACTCTACTCTCCAGGAAACAAACATGTCTTGACTTCTTAATCAATAGTTGACACAAGCCTGATCTACTTAACTCAACCACAAAACTGAGGTATTTCCTAGGAAACTTGTGTTTCCTAGATGCCAAGAATCTAAAATATTCACATCAACTTTAGAATCTAGTGGAGGCATGAATTATACATATCGTCCATTTAATGTTGATCAGCCATCCATTTGACTTCATTGGGGTGCAGATTACCAGAGTGAGTTATAATGTGCTCCAAAGAAGCTCAAATCTTAATATTGAGGAGAAAACAGAGTAACTCAAAAACTTCTTTGCCAAAAACTTGTGGCTGAAATTATATCCTAATGAGATTTTTTAAAAAACCCTTCAGTGTCCCTTTTTGATTTTAAGCAGATGCAACCCAAAATTACTCAAATATTTACATTTATGTCAATGACTCCAATCCATTTTGTCACTTAATTGTATAAAGCTATCTTCTACAAAATAGTATGCTGGTATTTTGAAATAAATTGATTTTTTAAATGGACATGGATAAAAAAGCTACAGATGGGGTTTTTATATACAGTTGTTTGCTCAGTAGATGGAATATTGAATCTTTCACCCATTAAATGTATCCTTGCCACAGATTTGCTGCACCTGCTATTTTACATCTCAGTATATTTTATACTGAATATTTATGGTTCTTTCAAATTAATATGGAAACATTAAATGGTCAGAAACAGCCCAATGCTGACATCTACTGGATACACAAATGGATGCATCTGACTATCAAAGAATCTCCATAGCCTTACTTTGCAAAGGTGTAAGAAATATAAAGTAAAATTCACTTTGCTTTATTTAATAAACATATACACTGGTTCTTTATAAATTCTTATTCATATCTAAAGAAAGAATATCACTATATTTTAAAATGGCTAATGTTGGGAGGTTAGACACGATTGGACTCAGAGACCAAGGAACTGTGATACTCTGAATGGATATGAGCTCAGAAATAATGCAGTTTGGCCACTGATAGTGTCTTTCGGCCACTAATCCAACCTCTTCAGTGAATACTGTGTTCCTTGTGCATAAATAGAAAAGGTAGTTCAACCCCATCCTCCTTTGTTCTTGAGAAATTGTGTGAGGTCTGTGCTAACTGTTCTCTTCCACACCAACATGGTTTCTCTGGCAGACTTTCCTTGGCTTCTGTGAGCCTAGTATGAATTATATCTTGCTTTTGCCAAAGTATATTTAATTACTAGATAAGTTGTTACAATGGGAAGTCAGACAGCCTTGGGTTCAATTTCTAGCTCAGCCTTTTATATATGTATCCTAGTGAAGTAGGAAAATATTTAATTAAAATGCAAATAACTTGCATTTTATTGCACTATTATCAAAAGAATTTATGGCAATATATAGAGAACACACAGCATTGTCTAAAAAGCAGGTGCTAACTAAATAGTGATTATTATCATCATCACCACCATCATCACTAATTTCTGCTAAGTCTATAGAATACCCCAAACTCAAATCCTACTGTATGTGAGGTCATCGAAGGCAAGGGTCATGGCTTACTTATGTTTGTATCGCTTGCACTTAATATAGTACCAGACACAAGTAAGTGTTCAATAATTGTTTGCTAATCTGAGCTCTCTTTCTAAAATGCGTGGCATCAGGAGTTCGCCTTACATTCTAGAGATTGCACAGTGCCGAAACATAGGGCTATACTCTTGTTTAAAAAGATCACAAACAAGAGACAGTAATAAATGGAGAAAGAAGATGACCAGCTTACTACTGTCAATTTTCAGAGTCAATACCATAATAACACACTGTCTTTATCATACCACACGAGGGCTCGAACTCATGGTATTCTGGTGCGTCATTAGCCTAGCCAATGTCATGACAGGAGGGTTGGTTCAGGGAAAGAAGATTCTGCCATTCTAGAACAGAGAGCCTGACTCAGATGCAACATTGTCCCCTAGATCACGAAGCACATTTACAGTTCTATGACTGCCTCCCATTTGAGCCCTGATAAATATTCCGGCTAATAAAATGTATAATTTTATTGTAAAACTGAACCTTATAAGTAAAGCTGAGAACCACAGATTTAGGGCCATTTTCCCAGATCAGATATTCAAAGTATACCTATCAAGGCCCGGAGATGCTATGTGGAATTCAGTGCAGGAGGGATCTTCAAGGAGAAACACCCTGTAACATGTGATATATTCATTGCTTTCTGTTCATTTGCATGGGAGAGGCTAATAATTTAACATATTACAAGCTCAGTTGCATGAAAAATATGGGTTCTTCATTTTCTGTGACTGATCTTATCTTGTTTTCAAGTCCCCCATTTTACTGGGCAGTGAGCAAAGTTAAGCCGACCAAGTCCAATAACTCAATCGTGTTTACTTTAAATGATCAGATCAACATACTCTTTTG